ATATTAAAAACGTACAAATGTAGTTGAAAAAAACCCCCAAAGAAACAAATACATACGTGTAACGTCATTTGAAAATATTATATCATATTTTTTACTGTATGGACAATAATACAGCTGCCAGGTACTAAAATATATTAACAACATTTATATTAATAATACCTTATACACATACATGATTACTACATTAGACGGTGTGAAAATAAACGATTATAATTACCTAAAATATGTCGTTATGTATTTTCAACAACAATGTCCTGAACAATCATTCAGCATTAGCATTAGCTAGCTTAGCTTACCATTTAGCAAAGAAAACAACACGTTTTACCTGATTTTACGTTTGATAACGATACTTAACCTAATTATGGTTACGCTATAAAACATTCCGACAGAAAAGCAGTTGTTAAGAAAGTGGTACTTTATTCATTTTATTTAATTTCACGTACCTCAATGTACACGTGGACCCGCAGAATGACAGAGCTCTGGGAACATGCCGTGGCAAGACCCAAATCTCACGATTTGATTGGACGGCTCGCTTTGTCAGCTCTGGGATATGACTGGTCAAACCAAATACCAGCGACGAGTCACTTCTTCATATCTTGAAAATGTAGAAACAATTATCGATCTATTAAATGTAGTAATTATAAAACACAACAAATATGATCAAAAGATTCCGAAAAAAAAAAACAATTATTGATTAAAATAATTAAATACAAATTAGATTAAAACAAATTGATACATTTCAGATTAAAATGAATATACCTAACACATTTTATATAATGTACAAAAGCTATAAATATTATTTAAAATATAGCCTTATTGATTATATATCCCTAATAAATGTGTTTATTTTTTCTTTGTTTTGACATGAACAAGTTGGCTAAGTTAAAAAATAATAATAAAATACCCCAGGATCAATTCCATTAACCACGCGTTTTTTCCTTTTTTTCAGTTATTTAAAAAATTTTATTCTTTCATTATTACCTTATTATTTTATTGCATCTGTTACATCCGGCGGAGGAGGAGCAGGAACAACCAGCAGGAGCCTTGTCAGCCCTGTTGTGCTGCTGAGGAGACACCGGAGAGAGAAAAAAGGGATGAAGATGATGAGTTTAGAGCGAGAGCAGGTGGAGAACTTGACTTTTAAGCCTTCAAAAGATCCTCAAACTTTTCAACTCCTCCGTGTCAAGTCCACCTCGGTCCAGTCAGTGTAGGTTCAGTTGCTGTCATAACAACCAGCGCAATAAACCGCTGTCAGTGCTTGAGCATTCAGGTTAATTACATTGTTCGTCTTTAACAGTTGTCTTTATAATCTCTTTATTAGCTCATTAAATAAAATTGGTTAACGAATAGCATACAGCATACTGTAGTATTTACCTTAGTGAACCGATAAATAGTAATAAACATTTTAACCTAAAAGTGCTAAACTTTATTTTTTACAGCAGTAAATTGTTTTAGTGAAATATGAGACTATAATATGTAGTTATAGTAACCTATAATATACTATATAGTTGTACTTTATAGTACTGTATGGAGTAATTTGTTTCAATCATCATAGTTGTTGTATAACCACAGTGACTATATAATTACCACAACAGATTAATTTTACTTTACTGTAGTAGCAATGGTTGAAAAAACCTATAGTATTTTTTTTCTTATGGCATGGTTTATGAAGGAAGACACTTGATGTCCTACAAGTACCAGTTTAGTAAACTGAACAACAATATGTTTATTTTTATTCTATTGCAAATAATCTGTCTGTCCTTTAAAAATACTCTTAGAGTGTACTTTGTTCACAATTTAGTCCTCATGTTTAAAATGATTTTGAATTTATCATTTAAATAATATTTTTATACTAATAATACTGAAAGAGTTATACACTTGTCATGTTTGAACTGTGATAATAAATACATTTTTTTTTTGTTATTAATCAGACGGCAGTGAAAATTACCTGAAACTGAAGGAACTCAATTTCAGAGTGCTGTCATCAGATTCGTTCATACCTGCACCAAGACCCAAGTGGCCGAATATCACTAGACAAAACATTTTTGAGACACTTATGAGAAAATATTCATGTTGGTTTATTTAGTTTGTGTGTTTATCTTGAAATGATGATTAACTAACTTTTTTTAAACCATTTTAGCCACAGTGATTGTTTGGCAGCAGAGGCAGCTGCTGTTCTGAAAGAGGTGTAAATGGTAAATTAAATCGGTGGTTCCCAAAGTGGGGGTCGCACGACAATGAGAAGGGGTCGCTTGGTGATTTCCAAAAATCTAATTCATTTTATTAAACTATTAGAATTACCATATTTTATCCATAACCTACAGAAGAAAAAAATAGTTAATATTTACATTTAAAAACAACATGCAAATAAAAAGCCATTCGCCTGTAATTTTTTTCCATTTGATTTCGACCCCTGGGGTGAATATGTTATATTTAAGACAGATAGATTTTCTGGCACCTGGTTAAACTTTCTGACACCTTTACGACACTCACATACATTAAAATAAAGGCCACATCTGAATATGGAGGAGAGTCTCAGAGTGACATTCTCCAAAATTAAACAAAGATTAGACTTGGGCCTATTGGTGTGTGTGCTCTGTTGCATACAAGGTTTGTGCATCTATAACCACTTCAGAGGATATTGGGGGTCGCGAATCACTTGCATTGTTATTTTGAGGATCGTGGGCTGAAAAGTTGGGGAACAGCTGAATTAAATAACCTTGTTTGATAAGAACCAATAATCATTCTTCATTAATGGCTTATGCCACAGAGTTTCAGTATTTCTCCAGTCGAGAGAAGTGTGTGGCTATCCATCTGTGCAAGTCTCAGAATGCCCAGTCACCAGTAATGGTGGTGGCAGAAGTGTTTGTCATGGCTTCCTGCACCAGTGAATTATTTTCCAATAATTCAATGGACCAGTGTCCTCATATTTTATCCTGCCCATCAGATTATGCTACCATCAATGTAATGTTCAAATATTCAAATTGTGTTGGCTACTTTTTGAATGGTAGGTAGGAAAACCAGGGCAAGAGAAACCAACACAGCACAGGAGTTAAGTGTAGTATTGTACTACAGTTATCACACTTAAAGACACTGTTAAAATGTTGTACTTTTGGAGATTTGTCAAGGTTTTGTTCTTAAACAGCTCCTGCTTTCATAGGACTAGTTTCTTACACATCTTATCTAAAGCCTTCTGTTTTGTTTTGATTAGTTTTCTGATTGTTGTAGGCTGTGAAATAACAAATCAGTCAGCATGATCATTTATTACATGATATGTAACTGTAATGTAGTCAAGACTTGCCTGGAACTAGTTCAACTGTTTGTTAAACTAAATCAATTCACACTTTTTATTGGACAAATTGTGTTTCTGATGCCACTCTAAGGATTTTATTTCACATCAATGCACAAAAAGTCTACTGAGCAGTTACAATGCTTGTTAAGGTGTTAATGGTCATCAGCCAATCAGAATTTAGCATTCAACAGTCTCATAAATAATTTTAGGATATTTAACATATTCTTATCATTATCTGATAACTAGCAATAGAATGTTTTGGAGAAAATTATTCTATTAAACATTTTGAACAATACCAGATTTATTTTATTTATCTGCTACAATCAATGCTGAAGGAAATCCTTATAAAAATAGAATATTGCAGTGTTTGGTATAAATAATTCACATGTGAACAACATTATTCAGCCTTTTTTAGGTTCTTGTGACTTTATAATTACTTTCAAATATGCATCACTGATCTTTCAAGACTAAAAGGGGAAAATGTTTGTATTTTTTATGAAAAATAAATGGCATGGTTCTAATTTAAGCACCAATAAGCACTAGGGGTGCTACAAATCAAATGCAATTAAAATCCATCTTACTATTTTTTTTATTTATTTTCTTACAGGGGGCACCGATCGGATGGGTAGCACGATCGCCTCACAGCAAGAAGGTCGCTGGTTCGAGCACCGGCTGGGTCAGTTGGCTTTTCTGTGTGAAGTTTGCACATTCTCTCAGTGTTTGTGTCGGTTTCCTGCGGGTGTTCCGGTTTCACCCACAGTCCAAAGACATGTGGTATAGGCGAGTTGAATAGGTTAAATTGGCCGTATGTGTGTGAAAGAGAGTGTATGGTGTTTCCCAGTGTTGGTTTGCGCCTGGAAAGGTATCAGCTGTGTAAAACATATACTGGATACTATACTGTGGTGACTCCTGATTAATAAAGGAACTAAGTCGAATAGAAAATGAATGAATTTTCACTACAAAACTAATAGCATGTATAACATTGTTACTAAATTATTGGCATATCCAATTCAAACATGTTGAATCATTAACGAACGGATCGCTGTCTCAACACGCAAACTCTTCAGTTTTGATTGAAACTATAGTTGTTTGCAAAATACAGTAGAACAGTATCAAAACCTGATTAAATTTCAAACCATATTTAGTAATGTTCAACTTAATTTGTGTATTAAATTCAGCACATATAGTTTACAACCTATTAACTTAAAAACCTTCAGTAAATCCAAGAAATCATCTTTAAATTATGTTTTTCAGTGTAGAATGAACATTTATTCACTCTCAAGTGACTGAATTTTCTTTTTCGATTGAACACAAAACAAGTTTCAACATTCAAAATTTCAACAGTTACAGATTTCCAACATTTTTAAAAAATAATGAGTAAATAAAAAGTAAATGAAGACAACATTTTCAGCCTTTGATGAACTATTTAATTTCATCTTTCCCTTTCAGGTCTAAAAAGAACTTTTTTCCATACAATTTCTGTGAACAGGAGCTAGAACTTTTTTATGTTGGATGCCTCCAGCAAATCATCATGTAAAACAAACGGCCATCACATCCCCACTAGGTGGCCTTGTCCTTCTACAAACCACAGCTGTTCACTTACACTGATTGGATGGACAAGGGCCAACCTCCCGAAATCACTACTAATCCTCTTAGAGACAACAAAACTCTTACTCGCCCAATCCTCTGCGTGCCTCCACTGCGCCCACCCTTTTCTCCTCTCTCCATCTCCCCTCCCCTCACTTATCGACCCACTGCATGGAGAGATTGTAATCCAAGTGGATTATGCTGTAAATTGGGTGATGGAGGATTGGATGCTCTGCAAGTGAATCTCAGCTGCAGAATCTCTTGCTTGCTGTTGGTCCGATTTATACATGATAGCCAAGACTTTTCACCATGGGATTTCGGAGGACACTTTTTAGATGTCATTCTTTGAGGATGAGATGATGAAGTTCAACTTAAAACATTGATATCATGATTTCGACCAGTAGGAAGAACAAGCTAACGATGACATTAAGTGGATTATTTGGATTATCTGTATCATCCTGAATATGAGAAGTGTTTGTTACTTCAGGCAGCTCACTAGGACTTTGAGAAGTTTCTGGAATATCTGAGGATGACAGGAATCAACTTCTGGATTGATGAGGAGTTCAGAAGGGTCCTAAGAGACGTTTAAGACCATCTAGGTCAATATGAATGGAAGCCATTGGATTGAAAATTGGTGTTTATTTAAGACACTGGAGTAGTGGATTCTTAGACTTCTTCTCATGACTTCATTATACTTTTGTGGCCTTTAAGGATCCAGTAGGTGCCAGCATCATGTGTCACATCAGAAGGTCTTCCTGGGTCACATTTCTGATGCTCTTCACAGGCTGGATGTGCATGTTTACTCATGCCCAAATGAAGATTCCACCTGAAACGTAAGTTTTGCATCTAAAACAAGCATTCAATTGATTGGTTTACAGGTTAAAAGTTGTGTTCATGATATTAAAATACTGATTTATATTCAATTCGTTACTGTGTGGGTTCATTCCATCAATGGTTTAGTAGTTGCTTGTAAGATCAGACAGACTGTTTCAGGTCTAATTTGCACTGTGCTGTCTTCAGTTTCATACGCATTAGCATTTCAAATGAGACAGGAAGAGAAATTGCTCTGAGAGTTGTGTGATCATTTTTAGTAATTCCCTGAATCCCTGAGTTTGTTGAGGTGTAAAATTCAGTTCTCACGAGGCTTGGAAGTCGTTCAGTGGAATAGCAGATGGCAGACAGTCTTCAACATACAGTACAGTACATAAGCAGCATGAATATATTTAAAGGTGGAGATGCAAGATAATTTGGTGATAGACAGCATGATGATTTCACGAGCAATTGCTAGCATAAAAATATGTGTATAATTATTATGTTACTAGAAATATAATAATTAATTTAATCAAAATGAATCTTCTGAGAATTTAGTCATTCTCGTGTTATTCAAAGTCTGTTTGACGTCTTTTTTGGTGGAATATAAAAGAAAGAGTTTTGGACTTGGAAGAGAAATTAGGACAAATAAAATCTCAGATATTTCTCAAAACATCTTACACGTTTGAAACAACATGTGATTAAATTTAGGTAAACTGTCCATTCACAGTATGTTCACATGACAGTAAATTCTACTAAATAAGCTGAAAACTTCAAATAGATTTTTTTTTGCACAACAACAGGAATTTTGGGGCTCTGAAAATGCACAAGTTTTTGAAAATACCACCATTATCATCTCTCTAAATAAAAAAAACATGCTTTTGGGAAATTGATGATGTCATACACTACACATGGCACATGCGTATTAAATATCCATTTTTAGGCATGTGTGAAGGGTTTTTAGTTCGTTTTGAAAAAAAAAATGTGAAGAGATTTTGTTTTGAAAATGTGTATTTTGAAAATCTTAGTCTTATTATATTGTGCATGCATATGTATAGTGATGGAACTTCGAAATCTTTACGAATCCTTTATTTGGAATGCCAAGGTCACGTGATTTCAGTAAATGATGCTTTATTACATCATAAATTTTCAAAAATTCAGGATGATGACTGTGAACCATCATGAGGATTTATTAAAAGCGCACCATTGAACACAATACAGTTTTTACCTGATCTCCGGTCAGACTTGTACTTTGCAGCTGTTTTATTGAGACATTTGTATTAATATGAATATTAGCTAATGGCCGCCTGTTGGCCTTTTTAGCTTTAATCGTGTTCGCACGGATTGTAAAAGTAGCTTTAAAACTATGACAGATTTACCATGGGTTTCTTCTTTTAATATACAGACATTTTCGAATAGTAGGTTAATATCCTGGCTCTGTTTGCTCTGCTCATACCATTAATAATACCTTCTGGATGCCAGCCAGACACAAGCTAGTTCACAGATGGTCCTACAGGCCTGACTCAGAGCACACAGGAATATCACAGGCAGTGTCACATTATTCACATTATCTCATACATTTAGTTTTTATCATGTTATGTGTAAAAGTCCAACTCAGCATGAAACCACAAGCATATTTCATCACACAGGATTTATTTCTAACAACATGCTTCCTTTTTATTTTGACCTTAATCCCTACATTTTCTTTTAGATTTTATATAACTGCAACAATTCAACAATGAAACTGCTGTGTTGAATTACCCGTCCACATTGAAAGCACATTATTATGTATTATGTTTTAAAGTGGGGTACCACGGTGGCGCAGTGGGTAGCATGATTGCCTCACAGCAAGAAGGTCTCTGGTTCGAGCCTCGGGTGGGTCAGTTGGCATTTCTATGTGGAGTTTGCATGTTCTCCCCGTGTTGGCGTGAGTTTGCTCCGGTTTCCCCTACAAGTCCAAAGACATGTTGTATAGGTGAACTGAGTAAGCTAAATTGGCCGTAGTGTATGGGTGTGAATGCAGGAGTGTATGGGTGTTTCCCAGTGTTGGGTTGCAGCTGGAAGGGCATCCGCTACGTAAAACATGTGCTGGATAAGTTGGCGGTTCATTCTGCTGTGGGGACCCCTGATTAATAAGGGAATAAGCCGAAAAGAAAATGAATGAATTAATATTGTAAAGTATAATATTAATGCGATCAGTTATGAATATTGGATATTATCAGTGCTACAAGTAGCTTAATTGTTTATATGGAAATCATGCTGTTTTCAGTAATCGTTGATAAGTACATTGTAAAACAAGCTGGGTTCCACACAATTGATTTGTGTTAGGACAACATGATCCTTTAGGTAAACTTTTAAGAAATTTAAGTTGATTAAGCATAAAACAATTAAGATTTAAAACTCAAGAGTTGTGTTGTTTCAGCTCATTTTAAATATGTCATTTAAATATTTTTTGCAGAAAATTGCATTTTTTAATAGAAGTATACATTTTTTTCTTACCGATCCCAAATTGTAATAGACAGGATCTTTACTGGCCCAAATTGGGCTAGTACTGCCTTGTCACTAAAGTTTAATTTGCTTACGACAGTCTTAGGCCGTACTCACACTAGGTACAGTTGCCTCGAACCGGGCCAAAGCACGCTTGTCCCCCCTCCTGTCTCGCCCGACGGCCCGCACTCACACCACAATCGGGCCTCGTCACGCTTACGTCATCGATGCTGCGCTGTTCAGTGAGAAGCGTTCTCACTCAGCAGCACAGTGGAGATTTCTCTAGTTATATCGGTTCAGTCGTTTGTTATGCAGTGACACGCAGTCAAATATTTCGCCAAACAGTCCTTAGGGGATGCAGTGACACGCAGTCAGATATTTCGGCGATCAGATCTGCCACTTTTGGCGCTCATAAACAATCATAAAGCCCTCGTGCTGCAGGAATGAGGAGGTCTGCTGAAGGCGTGCAGCTGTCGTGCAGTGAGGGGTTTGTGTCTTTAATAAACTACGGCAGTTTGCTTTCACTGAACAGTAAGAATGATTAATAAATCCATATGGAACAGTCCCTTAAAGTCACGTCTTGCTTTCAGTTTTAGGCTATGGCGCGTTTTGCACTCATACTACAAACGTATCGCGCCAAAGCCCAAGTGAACTGCGTTCAGGCCCACCTCTTCCAACCGGGCCAGGGCCGGTCAAGTGAACCGTGCCTGAGCCGATTCAGCGCACTCACACTTCTCAGACGATCCGGGAAACGTGCCTGGGCACAGTTTTGGATAGCATAGTCCACTTAGAATGGAGAAACAGTTTGTGCTTTTAAGCCTTTAAATGCCACCATCTCTGTGATGTTGTAAACATCATACTTTTTTTCAGTTTCTCTTATCTGATTGGATGTTGTGAGCACGTTATTTTTCCCATAACCTGGTAACAACCAGTGTAGCGAAGAGATGGCACAATGGTGGCAACATCACATTATGAGGTTTAAAAAATATGTCTGTTTCTAACGTTAGAAGAAGACATTTATGTGAGTACAACACAACGAAAAAAAGCAAGTGATGTTTAGCACAGTTTGCCGTCAGTTTGGCAAGTCAGCCACCTTTTGTTAAATAATTTAGAACTGCAATAAAATACCTGTTTTCCATACTGATCTATTTGTTTGCATAACCTTTAGAATTTTAATCATTTTACATTTATTAACATTTTTTAAATATTTAAAGTCAGGAATTTTGCTAAGAATTAGCTATTAACTTTTTTTTGGTGGGGCCAGTGAACATTTTGACAGGGCCTGTAAAAATCTGAACTATTGGCCTGGTCAGGCCATTTGAAAAAGTCCTTAGCGTTGAACCCTGACTATGCTAATATAACAAGTCTTGTTATACTGTATGTGCAATGAGCTGTATTTGACTGCCCAGTTGTATTTGCTTTCCTTGCTTTAATAGTTTAAAGTGTTCAGAACATCTTATCTTGGATCTCAGTATTTTAAATTTAACATGGATAGAGACTGTAAGGGAATATTATAGCCTTACAATGTCACAAGAGGTTCATATTTTTAACATTGACCATTTAATGTTTTTGCAGCTGAACAATCAGTATATTGTTAAACAACAGTATAATTCATTAAACAAATCTATTTCTATGCCTCACAGTCCCATTTCTTTTCTGTCAAAAAAGAAAAACAGTGCTACGTTGATTAATCAGCTGTATATTTATGGCACTTCCTGTGTTGTTTTTCTCCTGGCTTGTAGTATCCAGGGTTGACTGTAACTCCACGCTTTTTGTTCAATTCTGTTGTGATTGTTGGTGCCCTTTGGAATGGGTACTCAACAAGTGGTACGGTATAGTTTGCTTTTTTGGTGTCTTTGACAGTAAAGTCAGACATAAATACGCACTGTACCATATCGTATCGAATCCTACTGCTTAGTGGAATAGGGCCATACGGTCTATTAACCTCCATGACGATACCAGACTCCGTCAGGTGAACAAAGATATACTCCAACATTGAGCCTGATCACATTAGCATGGTCCTGATTTGTCTTATTATATAGGACTAGATGCTGACAGTGCTTTTAATGACCAACCACAATTAGTTTTTTAGTTAACACTTTATTTTTCCTAGAATGAAATGTAGGGAATCTAAAAGCATCCAGTTCATAACATACACAAAAATATATAAGAAATTATGTGGTGCTTAGAAATAGGAAAAATATATAAAATATTCAAAGTCTTACAGTATACCAGTGCCATAAAATACAACTTCTTGAATCCAACAATAAAACAGAAACATTAGACTCAAATCATATTAAATAATAGTCATTAAATAATATTTACATATATATTAATATCAGGCTTCACATTTGATGGTGAAAATAAGGTGAAATAGGATGAAATAAGTCAGAGCTTTTAAAAATGTGCATATCAGGGGGTAAGTCAACCAAAAACTATGGGGGAAACGTCCAGGTGCACACATGATATAGGGATAGTTTTATCCAAAATACATCAAGAAAAACAGTGATGCTCTATTATAGAGTGTATTTGAGGTCTTTATATTACAGTATTATCATTTTACTTTTAATGTATAAGATGTTTGTATTTGGCTTTTCAGACAGCTAGGTCTGCATTCACTGTAAATAGTCTGAGATCAATAGATTACTTGGAATCCCATCAAGTGATTATGGGCCACCTGCAAACTAAGACAATTATGTATATTTATAGACTGGCAGCTGAGAGGCTGATCAGAGCTAATGTGAACTTTAAAGAAATAACAATAACTATAATAGTTTTATGTTTTACCAGGGTGATTATTATTATTATTATTATTATTATTTATTATTTTTTATTATTTTTTTATTATTTTTTTTGCCTGAATGCTCAGTACAAAGGCATTTGAGAAATGTTGCACAGTCAATCTGTTTTTATTTTATTTTTTTATTTTTTTTTTTTTTGTTTGGTTTGGTTTCTGTTGTTGTGGCTTTGTTTGGTATTTGTTTTTCTTTGCCTTGTTTTATTTTGGATTCTGTTGATGAGGTTTTATTTGCTTTTTGTTTTCTTTTTTGCTTTGCTTTGGGTTTCTGTTTTTGTGGTTTTGTTTGCTTTTTGCTTTTTCTTGCATGGTTTTGTTTAGCTTTCTGTGGTTTTGTTTGCTTTTTCTTTTCTTTTCTTTTCTTTTCTTTTCTTTTCTTTTCTTTTCTTTTCTTTTCTTTTCTTTTCTTTGCATTCCATTGTGATTGTTATTAGCTTTTTGCTTTTGTTTTGCTGTGGTTTTGTTTAGTTAAATTTTCTTTGTATTGCTTTGTCTTGCTATGCTTTTGTTTTGCATCCTTTGATTTGTTTTGTTTTACATAGTTTTGCTTTGTTGTGTGTTTTGTCTATAGGGTTCAGAAATGGGCCCTCACCATTTCAGAGCAAATCAATGCAATTGCATCAAAGTATTCAGGAGCTGCTCTCTTTCAAAAGGTAAACATAAATGGAAATGTTTGTTTTGTTGTTGTTTTAAAATGTTTCTGCAAATGTTTTGCATGTGCAATCAGGCCAGTAGAACCTTTTGCACCTTTTTATGTCAGTACAGAAAATCATAGTTCTGAAATGTTTTTTTCTGTTTGTCCAGAAACTTAAAGATGTTGAGCCTATTATCAGAATAGAGGACTTGGATGGATCCGAATTAGTGCTAGAATTTGCAGAAGAAATCGAAAGAATGCTCGGCAGCAAGATGAGGTCAGCAAAGGTCAGTATACAACATTGTTTATAGTAACTGTTAATTTCAAAATCCTTTCAGTTGAGGAAAACATATTCATGATTATCTAGGTGTTTGATTCATATTCATATTATTCACATAATTACTTTTTATAAGTACTTCTAAGCAAATGTTAATGCCTTATTCTAGATGCTTTCCCCTGCCTTCATAAAAGAACTATTACTACAACTACCTTAGCTACTATTAATAATTACTGGTTTATTAAGGGAAAAATCATATGTAAAGTGTTGTCATTAATTCTTGATGTGCAGTTAAATCTTGCAATACAGATATATAATAATGCTGTATACTTGGAAGTCAATAAAAACAAACATTTTTACATTAACAACTATTAACATTAAAAATAAACATTTATTGTTCAATGCCGATATAACCACCAATATATTGTATGTCACTATTTTTTTGTTTGTTGTTGTTGTTGTTGTAATTTTAGGGGATTTCATTGGCCGTTGGTTTTAACTTAATTAACTTAATAATTCTCTTTGTTCTCAGAGGCTTGCAGACACAGCTGAGGATGCTGACCTGTATCATGAATTTAATTCATCTTTACAGGTAAATTTAAACATTTATATACAGTTGAAGTCAGAATTATTAGCCCCGTTTGGATTTTTTTTTTTTTATATTTCCTAAATTATGTTTAACAGAGCAAGGGAACTTTCACAGTATTTCTAAAATTATTTTTTCTTCTAGAGTAAGTCTTATTTGTTTTATTTTGGCTAGAATAAAAGCAGTTATTAATTTTTTAAATACCATTTTAAGGACAAAGTTATTAGCCTCTTTAAGCAATTTTTTTTGATAGTCTTCTGAAGAAACCATCATCGTACAGTAACTTGCCTGATTACCCTAACCTGCCTAATTAACCTAATTAACCTAGTTAAGCCTTTAAATGTCACTTTAAGCTGTATAGAAGTGTCTTGAAAATATCTAGTCAAATATTATGTACTGTCATCATGACAAAGATAAAATAAATCAGTTATTAAAAACGAGTTATTAAAATTATTATGTTTACAAATGTGTTGAAAAAAATCTTCTCTCCGTTAAACAGAAATTGGGGGGAAAATAAACAGGAGGGCGAACAATTCTGACTTCAACTGTATATATAGTGATTTGGTATTTAAGGGACAATTGACACAAAATAATTAATTCTGCCATTTACTCATCTTTCACTTGTTGTATACTGTTTGAGTTTCTTTCTTTTGATTTTCTGAAGAATGTTGGAAACCTGTAAACATTAACTTCATAGTATTTTTTCCCTACAATGGATGCCAGTGGTTACCAGTTACTTATATTCTTCTTGATATCCTATTGTAATGTTCGACTGAAAAAATAAATAAATAGCTCCTAAATCGTTAGAACCACTTGAGGAAGAGTAAATGATGAGTAAATCATTATTTTAGGTGAACTGTTCTATTAAGCATGTTTTATATGTTGTTATAAATGTAATTGATTAAACCTGATTTAACTAAATTAGTTATCTTTGACAGATAATTCAACTACACATATTTTAATATTTTGTTATAGAATTATAAATTGATCTTTTATAAATTATATTTTAATGTCAAATATTTTTGGTCATTTTTTGCTGTATCTTTCAGTTTGACTACTTTAATGCACTCCTGGTGAACACTATGGATGAAGAGGGAAATTTCATTGAACTTGGAGGCGAATTTCCTTTGGAGGAAAATAACCATTTCAGCAAACTTGCAGTGAACACTTTAATGAGCGACATCCAAGTTCCAACTAATGTCTACAACAAAGGTATGACAGCATATAATGAGAATCTCTATGGGCTTTGTGTCTGATATTGTGTAAGAATATTTAGTCCTCCTTTTACTTATTTAAAAACATTTATTCAACAACACAAATTTAGGGTGTTTTGTAAGTCATTCAGTAGTTGACTAGCTTCATATTAAAGTACTCCTATATATATATATAAGGGCATTTTTATTCTGCAATTGGGTGAACTAAAAAAAATTAAAATGCATAATAAATAGCCATATTATCTGTGCCCCTTTCACTGAAGGGATAGCTTACCCATAAAATTAAAATTCTGTTCTTATTTACTCACGCTGACGAAAATTATGAAAATCTTGGAAACCATTAGCCATTGACTTTCACTTCTACTTAGACTATGCAAATCAAAGATTACCAGTTTCCAACATTCTTCAAAATATCTTCTTTTGTGTTCAATGGAAAAAATAAACTAAAATGTTTGGAGGCCACTTGAATAAATGGATTTTTTTTTTGAGTGTCCTTTACCTTTAACGTACACAGGATTAAAATGGATGTTTATGTTACTTGTATCAATTACATATTTTTTTGCATTAATAGTTTTAAAAGCAATGTGTATGTTTTGCAGAAGTGTATTTATTTTTTTATTTATTATTTTTTTTTATAATTTTGTACAAATGCAACATTTGAACTGCATTTACATCTAATATTAATTTCAGTCATGTTTATTTGCAGATCCAGATATTCTCAATGGAGTGTACATGTCAGAGGCCTTGAACGACATCTTCATCAATAACTTCCAGAAAGATCCCACGCTCACCTGGCAGTATTTCTGCAGCCAAACGGGTTTCTTCAGACTTTATCCAGGTTTAATCACTTCTGCTTAGTATTGCTTAGCAACTTTTAAGACTCAAATGAGATTGTACACTCTTAAAAGGGATGTCATTATTTACTGATGATATGATTCAAATGTTATGGTTATGGTTATGAATGTTATTATCCAAACAAACAAAAGAGGACCGAAAGTCTGTTGACCAGTTAAACTCCGTGGACCCGGTACCAGGTCCGTGATGTCGACTTTCGCTTTAAGATTTAAAAGGCTAGCATTGCACCAGACCTCCATAAGTGGTTTCGTTTGAAAGTGTAGAATCTATATTTTATGTACATATGCATCACTTTGGTTTTTATTCTACAGTACAAAAAGTTATTTACACTGAAATACACAGTATTTTGGATACCGAGCTAGGTATTTTACATTGGTTTATTTTCATATTTTTCATATGTACACATGTACAAGTTATAGCTCAAATGAAAGCTCTTGTTAGTGCTCATATGGTTCTAGCATTCTTTTTACTGAATTTTATTTACATATCAAACAGTTGCAGAATGAATCAAGGTGTTTCCATGGCGCAGAATTGAAAACAATACATTTATGATCACTAAGCAGCCCCAGATAGCACAGACAGCTGTCATCTCCCACCTTATGCTGTGTGCTACAGGGCCATTTCTCCTCTGTTTTTAAGTTGATGTGCATAAGTAATCCTTTTATTTGTCTGACGTGGTCCAAACACAGTGAATTATGTTTGATCAAACAAAAGAAATAGTGAAATATGAAAACAATGATCGGTCCCTGTGGCTTGTATAGCACCTCTCATCAGTTGGAATACAATAAGTATCCCAGAATCCCAAAATAACAGCAACTGGTTAACCCAAAATCCACATTCTCATAAAGAAATTAAAAATAACTAATTCAGTCATTTATTGACATATAAAACTGTTTCTTTTATCAGTGAACATAAACAGAAGCTCAACAAAACCTGCTTGATTTGTAAGAAGAAGCATAACTGGGTCAGAGTGGCCAAATTTGCATGATGATTTAAAATTCTGTTCATTGACCAATGTGGATTTTTGGTTCAGTGAATCAGTTTATCATATAAAGCAGTCATGTTTCTA